TTTATCCTCCTTTGGACATGTGGGGTTGCAGACTGGACCCTGTGATCACTTTGAACAGATAACAATTTCTTCGTGTTTTTTTGAACATCACTACTGTTCTGAGATATTTGTCTTCCCTCCGAATTTTGTCAGAAGCCTATCAGTGTCCTGCACATCAATTTGAGGAGTAATTGGATCCTTTACTGACTTTTGCTTCGGTAAGATTGTCAGCTTCTGTCTTTCTTTCGTTTCCTGGCTTGTATGTTGTTGGGATTTATTGGGTAGAGATGTCTTTTTGGAGGGAGAATGTCTACGTACCATAGTTCTCCGTGAGTTACATGAAGCTCTTTTTCTTTGTGTCTTGATGTTCATGAGCATCGCAGAGGTGTTGGAATCACGAATTGATGTCACACATTTGCATTCTACCTTGTTGTCGTTGGCCCCGAGACTTTCTTGAGCTCCTGCTGGAAGTCATGGCATGACTAGTCGTCATTTTTCCCGACTCCCGCCTTCTGTTCCTTGATCTATTGGTACTCAGAATAGATTCTGTCCTTATCTTCGAAGCTCCTCTTCTCATGCAGACCATCACCAATGGTGTTGGTGACTATTCTATGCGGGTGGGATCTGTGGGAGTGAGGTTACTACATTTTCTAGACACACGGAATTCCTTCACCATATATCCATGGGTTCTTCAGGTTCTGGTGTCAGGGTTGGTAAATTCAGTTCACTTCTCCACCTCCATTATCCTCCCAACCAGTGGTATTTCCACCCCAACAGATCCTTGGAGTGTGAATCTTCATTCCAAGGCTCTCAGAGTTATTGGTCAAGGGGCAGTAGAGAAAGAGAGAGTCGATTCTGTTCTTCCTGGATTTTATTCCCGTCTATTTGTTGTGCCCAAGATTGGAGGCCGATCATCGATCTTTCACGTCTTTACGAATTCTTAGATCCTCTCAGGTTCAGAATGGAGTCTTTTCTCATTTTTTCTCCAGTTTTGTGGATGACCAAGTTTGATGTTGCCAATGCATGTTTCCACATTCCCATAGCAAAGTCATCCCGCTGCTATCTACGTTTCGTGCACAAGGGTCAGGTTCTGCAGTTCAGGGCACTGCCCTTTGGCCTAGCATCTGCACAATATATGTTCTGCAGAGACGTACAAGCTTTTTTCTCACCTTTTGGCCTGTACACACACCATTATATAGATGACTAGTTACTTCTGGCAACATCTCGTCAGTTGGCAGAACAACACACCTGATTCTCCTCAGAAGCCACCAATGTTAGCTTTATTATCAGAGCCAAGAAATACATTCTCTTGCTGACTCAATATATTTTCCATATTTTTCAACATATTTTTGAGCCGGGCTCAACCAACTCTTGTCTGGCTTCAGGCTACAGAACGGGCAGTCAGCCTCTTACTCACGTCTCCTTCTTATACTGGGCAGATGGTTCTCGCTCTTTTGAGGATGTGGTCATCCATCGAATCTCCGATTCCTATGGAAGGAGCAAACATGCCATCACTTCAGTGATTTCTGTATGACCAATGGATCATGAACTGCAATCCGCTGTATCATTCAATCTCCTTAATTAGGAGCAACATCTTAGATCTTGAGTGGTGGTTGGATCGGACCAACACTACCATTGGTGTTCCTGTACCATCCCCTTATTTCGAGATTCATCTTTTCACAGATGTCTCACTTCAGGGATTATGGATGGAAGACTAATCTTCCTTCCACATCAGTATTTTATAATTTCTTGCTGTCCAATGGACAGTGATTCAAGGTCTCGACATATTGAAGGGGAAAATCGTCATGATTCACTCCAACAATTCTACAGTAGTCTCTTACATTTCCAATCAAGGAGGCACACAACCTAAGGTCCTTTGTTTCCGAACATTGGATATTCTCTACTGGGCTCATTCCCATCATATCAGCCTCCTGGCTTGCCATGTTCCGGTGGGGATGAATTTAATAGCAGATCACCTGTCTCACCCCAACTGAATGGATGCTCCTTTGCAGGGTTTTTAGGTGGATTTGCTCTCAGTTCGGGACTCCCATGATCAATGCATTTGCCACTCATTGGAACTCTCAGCTACAGGTATTTTGGTCCCCAGTACCTCATCCTCAGGCTTTGGTGATAAATGCATTCAGTCAAGATTGGATGGGATTGCATCTCTTCGCCTTTCTCCCAATTCATCTGTTACACAGAGTTCAGGCTATGATTCGATCCACTACTTGTTTAGTACTGTTGGTCGCCCCATATTGGCTGGCCCAGCCATGGTTTCCTCTTCTACAGTATCTTCAAGAGTGTCGACCTCTACCACTTCCTCTTTGGCCATCTCTGTTGAAGCAGCCCTGATCAGACATTCCCAAGTTCAAACTTCAGGTACGGAAGATATGCAGTCCTTTGGCATTGGGGTTTAACTTCTAAAGTTGCCTTGTAGTTGTTTCAATCTATCCATAGACCCACAATGACCATTTATCAACCACAATTGAATGTACTTCACCCAACTGTGCCTACCATATCGTTTTTTTTTACCAGGCTCTTTGACTAAGGCTGAGCTTCATCTACTATCGCTTTATATAAGGCAGCTTTATCAAGTACTTTTCGATATTCTAAACATCGGAAAGTATTTGAATCTCCAGTGCTATCCTGACTTTTCAAATCGTTTAGAGTTCTTTGACCTAAATGGCCTTTTCTCTAACCCAACTGGGATATTAAGATGATATTACATGCTTTGTCTTGACATCCATTCGAGCCTTTAGCTTCATGTATTTTTTGTTGCTGCTGGCATGTGGGCATCGTAGATTGGTGTTTGATCTACATGACATAGGACTTTTTTATCACTTCACTTCTATCCTGCTATGCCCTGATAGGTCCTTTCTTCCTAAGACTCTGGCAGCCAGGGAAGGGTATAAATCCTTCTCACCATTTCATTTGCCAGCTATTTCTCACATCTACGACTGATCTGACCCAGATCATTTATGTCTTTTCAGAACCCTTAGGTGTTATGGGCTTGCACTAACTCCATTTGAGGTGCTAGAAATTGACTCTTTATTCATTGGGATCCATCAGTTTCCTGCACTTTATCCCCTATTACTTTGACGAGGTGGCTTCACAAATTGATCCATATTGCTTATTTTGGACTTTCTTTACAGGCGAGGAAAATTCTGTAAGTCACATCTCATCAGATTCATCACATTTCTATGTCTTTAACTGCCTGATTGAATTGCCTTCTGAAGGACATCATGCGGGGTGGTATGTACTTTTCTCTCACATCATTTACATGATCTGGCAGTTTCTTCTTCTGAGGGTTTTTGCCTACCCCCTGTGGCCTTTCTGACCACATCTGCTAAATTATAATGAGGGATGAGTATTTTTTCTCTTCCTTTTGTATCTTTACTTTCCATGGTCCCTTACCTTTTTTTTTGCTGGATCCCACTTTGTGACGAGTGTTGCCCAGACAGGCATGGTTTTATCAATCCAATTTTGTACTAGCAACTAATTTCATTATACTTACTACCAGTTTCAACAGGCTCTGTAGAAATGAGATGTTTCATAAGACCATCGAACTTACTAGATGGTATTACTATTTTATGCTGGACTGCCACTCATGGACTATCATAAGTAAAGCTAAAGGGTATCCTGCCTATCCTTTCTGGTCATTGGATTTAATAAATCGAGGTTGGTTTACTTTTAACAATTCAGGGAACTTGGTTCAACTATTGCGCTGTTCCTCAGGACTCCGCATTACCCTCTAGATTCTACTAGTGGAGCTAGGGAGTTCTTACCACACCCAGTTCTCAATCGTTGGGGTGGTAAACAGAGGATTTTCCTCCAGAGTGTTTGAGTGATTTCCTCCACTCTTGGAGCAGAGGGCAAAGTTCCTGGATGTTTTTCCCAGATGTTGGTAGGAACGATACCAGCCTATGCAGGAGCCTACTCATAATACCAGTTCAGATTTGACACAAAGCTATCCAGTTGGGGAGGTGCATGGCCCTTCTCTTTGATCAATGTCGGTTTTGTACATTGTCCATGGAAGTAGGTCCACTCTCTCCTCATAATTCTGAATGCGAAGTAATCCCATCTTGCATCCTTGGTTGAGCACAGTGTTCCATGTCCTCTTCATAATTCTGGGGGCAAATGGAAGGCTCCTTGCCCACTAGGCTAGGGAGTGAGGATGAATGTTCATAAATCCAGACTAGATGAGTTCTGTTCCTTAGGTTGAGTAAGGCATACACAATCCCATCATTCTGAGCCTGGGGTGTTGCCTTTCAAGCTTATTCAGGTGAGGGAGAAAGTTTGTCCACTTCAGTATTGCCTACTTTCTCATTGTGATTCTGGTGGTTCAGAATACATCATTCTATGGTTACAGGTTGGGATCCAATCAAAAGTATATCTATATATAATGTTGCTGTCCATTTGCCTTAGCTACCAACATGGGATATAGGGACCAAGACCTCTTAATTCCAACCCTGATTTGTGGAACCTCAGCTATCTTGTTGGGGTACCACTTATCTTGGTACACCCTTGATTTGTGCAGATGCTTTCTGTATGGATAATGCCCTCACCAACCCCTCCACCTTCTCAATGTGGGATTCTATCTATAAGTGGCAGCGGAGGTAAGTATGTTTTGGAAGTAGATATTTTCATGAATTGAAAATGTATTTCTCACACTGTGTATTTTAATATCTGTTTTAATTAACAACAAGAACTGTTCCTATAGTGTATATTTTAATTTCTGTTTCAGTTAGCAACTAGAACCATACTTACAATGTGTATTTTAATGTCTGTTTTAGTTGGCAACTAGAAATGTTCTTAAAATGTATGTTTTAATGTCCATTATAGTTAGAAACAAGAATAGTATTTGCGGTTTATATTTTTATGAGAATGTTTTTATAATCTAGAAAATATTCCTTGCCATTTTGATTTTTGCATGAATTTCTACTATGGTACTAATTTGTGGCTACATTTTTTGACTTAAAGAAAATTTAAAGTATGTTTAATTTTTTTTCCTTCTGTCCTAGATCTTTGTATATATGGAGTTGTTTTAGTCTGACTTTTGTAGTAATTGGAATTTCCTGTTTATCTACTTGGGCAGGCTATCTCCAGGCCAAATTTAAAGTAAGTATCCATTAATCAAAATATATGATAAAAATAAGTTATATTCAAATTGTTCTCAATATTTCATCTACCAAAGAAGCTGTATGTACTTGTGATAATGTAGTCATATAATGTATTTATCTACTTGTTATTATAGCTTCAACATGCATCATCATTGTGTTCTGTACGTAAGAGAAGATGAATGAATAAGATAGCCTCCACGTTTAGCAAACCAAATGCACATACAAACTAAATTGAGCCTACTTTCAATCTTCAGTGCTCTTAAACTTTACTGACGTAGTGTTATCTTTCCAAAAAAAGAAAACAATATTTTGGTTCTATGTCATTAAAGTTAAACATTGGTACCTTTAATCAGCTAAATTGTACTTCTATGATTGGATATGATAAAAATTAAGTGTCGTCTGTATTTGACACTTTCCTCTTACTGTGAAAGAAGTGTAAAATTGTAAGTCACTTGAGTTTTATAAAGCCTAAGAACCAATTAACTTTGGAAACTAAGAAGAAAGAAGCATTGGCCTTGGATTCAACTATCTTCTACCTTTTGGTTGGCTTGTAAGTTTTCCCTGTATAGGTCTCTCAACCAATGTGTAATCTCTTACCTTTGATTTCACAAACCATTTGCATTTATTATTACACTGGTACCTTAAAGTCATAGTGAATGTGGTTTACTTGAATTTTACCTATTCCTCAAAAGTGTAATTTAATGTCTCAAAAACCGGATTTTCAAAGTAACCAAGAAAGTGTTTGAGTAGAAATACTGGAACATAAAAGATATGAATGTACCAAATTTTCTTAATTTGAGTATGTATTCTATTAAATCAACCTTACACACACACAAGAATATTAAAAGCATACACTTGACTACACAGTGAAATGAATTTAGTTAAAAAAAAGGCATGCTTGTAATAAACACATGTATTATGTTAATGCTGAATTGGGCTCACCCTCACTTACAGCACCATCAAAACCCTTTTACTCACCATATAATTCACTTATCATAGTTTTAATTTTGATTAGTTTAATGATTGTTTGAATAGCTTGAAATGTTTTGTCATTTGTCTTTTCATTTTGTTTTGTGTTCAGTGTTATAGTGTTTTGATATATTTGATTGCAAATTGTCTTTTGGTTGATGTTGTCTGTGCAAGCTAAACCTCACTGAAATAATTATGTTTAGAAAAAATAGAAAAATTATTCTTGTATTTTTGCTTTGCACTACCAAATAGTATAATATACTAATACCAAGCATGAATTTTTAAAAATTAATAATGTGTATTCCAATTTATAATATACTGGTTTAAAGAAAATAACTGGATTCTGCTGTAATAACTTAGATTTTCATGCTACTGAATGAATTCGTTTTAAATATGATCATTAATTTTGAAGGTGTTAGTTGATTTCTATTGAAGTAATGTATATAATCATGTGTGTTTTAAACCATTTATCTTTGTGTTATATGGATTAAACTTACATGGTTGTTACTACACATTGGAAATTAACAACTTGAATGTTATTAAGTATGAGTATGGGATTTTAGTATACTTTTAACTAGCAAGTAAAATTGTCTAGAGGATTCTATATAGTCATTGATTAAGTCACAGATATCATATTTCAACATCTTTTAAGCCACTCTGAGAAAAGCACTATAGTTACACTCATAAGCAGAAAAAAAATGAGTTAATCCAAAGAAAATTGACTGGAGGAATATGTTACACTTTTTGAGTAGGGATATTTTATAGCAAGAAAGTTAAATGATTTAAAAGTAAAGAATCCAACATTTCAAATAAAGGAGTCATCATTGTTTTCCATGAAAGGGGAAACACTAGCACAGTACAGTATTCAGAACAGCAACAGGCCTTGAAACTACACTCCAAACTAATTTAGATCAACTTTCTCATCTGCAAAGTGATGGTTAGCAAGTTTGTCATCTACAAAATGAAGGTTATAGTTCTAGAGCGATTTCTTCATCTGCAAAATGAAGGTTATAGTTCGAGACTAATTTCTTCATTTACAAAGTAAAGATGATAGTTCTAGAACAGCTTCCTCATATGAAAGTGAAGATTACAGTTCAAGAACAGCTTTCTCATCTGCAAATTGAAAGTTATAGTTCAAGAACAGCTTCCTCACCTGCAAGTGAAGGTTATTGTTCTATATCAATTTCCTCATTTGTAAGCTAAGGTTATTGTTCCAGAGCAACTTCCTCTTCTGCCAGAGAAAGTTATAGTTCTAAAGGTTACAATATGATACATTATCTCTTCTCACATAAATAGCTATTCTCGTTCAGTGCTGCCCTCTACATGCAAAAACTTTTACACATGCCACAAACCTTGAAGTTCCCACTCATCTTTTAATGTACTGATTCAAATGTGCCTTGCATGTAAATCATCATGAGACAACCCTCCACCAATAAGAGAGCAACACACACTCATGGTGCATGTGACTCCCTCTGTTTAATTCTACA